TTTTCAAATGAGGCACACACATACGCGCGCGCGCACACACACAATTTTATGGCAGGACAGCTCTTGCCAATATTCTACATTTTTGGAAGGCAGGTTCTTGTCTGTATATCTTCACTTTTTTTGGTAACTTCTAGTCTTTTTATCAGCATAATAAATAAATCTCACATCTTTTCATTGTTAACTAATGTGATTTTTATTGCTATATAGCACTATATTGTGCCATGTTTGCAGGTTTGACAGCTACTGGATATAAATAAATAGAAGCAATAAATTTACAATTATTTCCTCTCTTAAAAAAAAAATAGCACAATTGTATCTTAATATATAATAGCAATTACAAGCAAATTGATTTCTCAATTAATGAGGCATTTTAGAGTTCCTGGGGATGAAATCCTTTCTCATCTAACATCAGCAATGAATTAACATTTTAAAAAGTACAGGCTGCTCAACTAATAAATCTTTGCACTTGCCATACTGCTAGCTTTGGGTCCATGGGGCTCTGGGATCTTGTCATCTTTGACCCTGGATGGGGTGGGACTGCCCCAGAAAGACCCAGTTCGCAACTTGGACTTGCAATTCCTGCTCAAGGAATAGGTGGCAGTCATGGCTAGGAGACCCTTTGCACAACTTTGTCTTGTGCTCCAGTTGTGGCCTTTCCTGGATCAGGATTTCCTGCGCTCAGTCGTTCAGTTCCTAGTCATTCTGTGGATGGACTATTGAAATGTGCTCTACATGGGGCTGCCCTTGAAGAGCATTCAGAAGCTCCAGTTGGTGTGGGCAGTTTTGGGAGGGGGCAAGAATGGGCACTGTATCACTACTGCTTTGGGAACTGCATTGCTTACCAGTCTGCTTCCAGGTGCAACTCAAGGTGTTGGTGGTCACCTTTAAAGCCTTTCATGACACGGGTCCAGGTTACTTGAGGGACACATAAATTGAACTTATGGCTGATGTATTCTCTAAAAGCAATTACAAACATTGAACCAGCAAACTGATTTGGATAACTTTTTTCTAACTGGATATACAAATGAGTGCTGTTAAGGTGTTGGAGGACTTTATTTTTGGCTAGAAGATGAACAGAAACTTAATTATGGGATTCTTTTTGGAGGAGTTAAAAATTAAGAGTCTTAAAAACTCAGGGATAAAATACAAGGTTGACTTATTTGATAGGGGCTAAAAGAAACAATTACACCTGGATTGCTTTTACTGGACTTTTTTTTGCTGACAAAGAACAACTGACAAAGCATTGGGATTTTGTTTTTTTCTTAAATAAGCTATGGGATGAAGAGACTGTATTTACAGATATAAGTCCTATTAAAATTGCCTTTACTTGCTGGGATCAAGGAGGAAATTGGCTGCTTTTTCCCCCTTTCCCCCCTTTCCCCCTTTTTTGTATTTTACTATCTGTATTTTTCTAGCTTGTGTTTGACTCTTTTCATTAGTAATTTTTAATAAAATCATCAGGGGGAAAACCCTTATCTTTGTTTCCACTCTCATTTGACAGATGTTAAGAACTGAATACACTTCACTGAAGTTGTAATGGATAAAGAACAAGCTATTCAGAGATCATATCCATTCCTATGCTGGGTAACAACAAAAAGCAGAGCTCAAATAGGAAGAAAAAAAAAACCTAGGTTCAAATCCAAGGGTTATTGCGCCTTGGATTCATTTTCTGTCTCTTTAGCTACAATATAACTGCATTTCAGCATTCCACAGCAGGTGGCAATATTTGGCTCAGTTTATCTGAATTTAGAATTTAGTTCTTGATGGGAGACACTCCAGGGGATTCCATGTCTGAAAGCTAGTTTAGAAAGATAAAGGAAAAAAAATCCCAGAAGGCCATGGCAAATCATTTCTATACTGCTGCCAAGAAAGCAGCAGGGATGTGCCCACAAGGCTCCCAGAAGCCAAGCCTGACTCAAAGGAGTCTTTTCATGCCATACCGTCAATGGTTGAAACTCACATCTGGAGACCTGAAAGCTTCAATGAGAAGAAAAAGAAAAACATTGGGAGCGGTAGCATTAAAATTCCATGAACAACTTGGGCGGCTTTGGGAATGTCAATATTTCCTGGCTTAACTTCACCAGTTTAATGAGAATTCAATGCCTTCCCTCACGTTTAAGGGTTACATTTGCAACAGGAGGATGTGCTTTCTTGTAATGGCAAGTAATGGATACTAATCTTTCACCAATTTCTCAAAAGGCTCAGGTAACTTTTATGTATTTAGAAGCCAGTCATTAGTTAAAATGACATCAAAGACAAATAACATAGGCCCAGGTCCTTCCTAAGGGCTGTCCCGTGCCAAATACTTGCTAAGCATTTTGTTTTAGAGCAAAATCTCTCTTCTATCCCGTTGACTGCTAGGCTCAACATACATCACTTTATTTAGTCTTCAGTCTGCCTCACCAATTTTATATAAGTCAGTTAGTGGTTTATCATCAGGTGTTGACACACTGAAATCCTGGCACACCCACATTAGTAGACCCTGACTAAGTTTAAGAAAATAACTAGAACAAATGGAAACAAAGGAGTTTTGGAAACCACGGCAAAAAAAAAAAATAATCCCCAATATGATCAGGAATGGAATCTTCCTCTCCACTTGCAGCTTGCTTTTCTATTCAACAAAATATAATCAGAGCAAAAGCAGTCTGAAGATGATGCTCAATGGAAGTGGTTACTGGAGTGGAGGGAGGAAAGAATAAATGAATTGTAGGGACAAGGAAATATCAGGCAAAACAAACCAGTAGAAAAGCTGATTAAAAAAAACAAACTTAAGCAGATCTAATCCAAATTAAAATATCTTTACATACACTTACAATTTAGTCTTAGCATTGGTATATAGACTTTAGATCTTGCAAGAAGGGGAACAGTATTACATTGTTGCAACATTTGGATAAGGTTTTACACCATATCATTCCTCAAGGCTTTCCTATAATGTGTTGGATTTTAACTTCCACACAGGTAGTCCTTGATTTACAACTGTTTGCATAGTGACTGTTCAAAGTTACAAGGGCACTGGAAAAAAGTGACTTATGATCATTTTTCACGTTTGTGATTGTTGCAACACCTCCATGGTCACTGATTTACATTCAGATGCTAGGCAACTAACTCACATTTATGACGGTTACAGCATCCCGAGGTCATGTGATCCCCTTTTGTGACCTTCTGACAAGCAACATCAATGGGGAAACCAGATTCACTTAACCGTGTTACTCATTTATTAACTGCAGTAATTCATTTAACAAATGTGGCAAGAAAAATTGTAAAATGGGACAGGACTCACTGAACAAATTTCTCACTTAGCAACAGAAGTTTTGGGCTTCACTGTGGTCGTATGTTTGAAGACCTAATTCCCAGCCAGCAGCCCAGACAGAATGGAGATTGTGGGAGCAGAAATTCAGGGCAGTCATCAGATATTAAGGGAGGGAGGGCTTTTTTTGTCCCTCATGGGTAGGAAAATATGTTTTGACTGACAGCAACAAGTCAATCACTTTTCCTCCAAGAGAATATATATCCCTGGAAAAGACAGAAAGCTTCTGTTGTGGTGTAAAGGGGGAGGTGCAGATGGCGTCTAGGAACTGATCTGATTTTCTCCCTGCCTGCTGCTTTTGTGGCCTAATTCTCTGAAGCACCTGGTGCGTTCCCACCCCCCCTCCAAACTGCAGCAAAATCTTCCCAAACAAAAGCCGCATGAAAAGAAGGCAACTTGCTCCCTCATCGGCTCGCTTCTACTTTCCTTCCAGGCTCTATCGCATGCCCAAGGATGTGGGGGGGAGTGACTGCAGCCTCACGGACCAACATCATCATCACCACGACCACACCATCCCAGAGTGGAAACAGCAACAAAGCAACCCAGCCTTTCTTTCTCTTCTCCGTGCCATCTTGATCTAGATTACCCGTGCCTTATTTCCGCACGCAGCACCAACAGATCCATGGAGGCTCACCTCGGGATCGGGAGAAAATAAAATAAAAGGCCACGACCCTCCGTTGACAACACCACCAAAAAAATAAAAACACCCCCCCCCCCAAAAAAAACCCACCCACCTCATTTTGCCCTCCTCCTTTCCCCACACCCCCCATTGACATTGGGAAGGAAATCCCAGAAACCCGGAACGAAATACAACAACTGGCCAAGGTGGGTTTTTAAGGGCGGGAGGAAGCGAGGAAGGAGAAACTGCGTCCGATCTAGCGGGCGAAAGGGTCGGGGGGGGGAAGGGAAGGGAATCCCACCAAAACGGGAGCAACGCAGCGGGGAGAACGAGGTAGCCGTCGATCCTGCCTGCCGCAGGGCTCCGCAAAGGGACTGAAAGCAGACGCGTAGAGGGCGAGAGGCACCTCCAGTTCCCGCGTCCCCGGCTCGCCACCGCCACCGCCACCACCGCATATTGCGAGTGCCTGCGCCAGATCGGCCGGAATCCCGAGCAGCAACGCCGCCGCCGCTTCCATTGTTCTAGGCTTGGGCAAGGCAGAGGAGGGAGGGAACTGGCAAGCCCAGGCGCAGATCTCTCCCGTGTAAACAGATTCCGAGTTGGAGAAAAAGGGCGTCCTCGAGAAAGCACGGGAAAGCCATTTCTTTCCCCACCGCCCACAAGGATTCCTCGGGGGCCACCCAGCTTCCCTTGTGGAAACAGGATTTTGGAGTTGTTATCGCTGCGGGCGGGTGGGGGTGAGGACAGGGGAGGGGAAGGGAAGCGCTGTTGCAATGGAACTCGGAGTAACAACCAGGTGGCTTACCTGGCGTCCAAGGTAGAGTCCCTCCACTTCGCCCCGCAGGCTCCGCTTCCCTCCGCTCCTCCAGCGCACTCAGCTCTCCTTAGCGACGTTCCCCTCTTTCCTAAATGAAGACGCCTTTCGCCTCCTTGGATTGGCTCGCGCCTCCCTGCTCCAGCTTCCAGGCTAAAAGAATAAGGAGGGAGGGAGGGAGAGCGAGAGCGAGAGCGAAGGAGGCGTGGCCTTTTGCCCGGTGCCGGCGAAAGAGTCTCGCCTTCTACGCATGTGCGTCCTTTCCTCCCCTTCTCCTGGAAAGGCTGTTTTGCGCCTGCGTGCTCGGGAAAACCTCTGGCCTGGAGACCGTGTGAGTGATGGGGGTTGGGAAAGGAAGGTGGTGGGGTCGTTTCGGGTGGGGAGCGGCTCCCTCTTTTCCTCGCGGCTTCGAGCTGGAAGGGCCGGCATAGCTTAAGATGAGGACAGGGGCTCCGTGCTAGTGATGGGGAAAAAAAGAAGTTAGGCCGTGCAGCGCGGTCGTATATAATATATATGTATGTACACTCGGGCTTGGAAAATCAGGACGCTCGGCTTGAGTAGCATTGCAGCCCTTTAGTGCTATTTTAAATGATTTTACTTACAAATGAGACATCTTATGCAAGTTACTCGTGCGGAAGTAACTTTGCGACTTGGAATACAAACCTAAAAGATCCAGAAGGTTGGAATTTTGTCTTTGTTTGCTAGCTAGGCAGTAAACGATCATCAGATTTTCGAAATAAGACTACAATCCAATCCCATTCAATTCAGAGGCATTAAACCAGCTCAGGTTTGAGGGCCTCTCCCTCAGTGTTTCGGAATTCCAGCAATTTCTGGCCTTTACTGAAAATAAAATGCTATTAAGTTTCATGGAGGTTATTTCCAAATAAATGTGTACAAGAAATTTGCAGATCAGGCAAAAAGTAATAATGCTTTATTTTAAAATCGAATTTGGAGAACTATAGTATAGGCGACTTTCTCTTAATATCCTGATAACGCTTTCCACCTTGATGTCTTTGGGTTTTTTTTTAAGATCTTAATGTAGTTCCAGTTCCTGGGCTTGAAGATGTTGCAAAGCTAATCTGGATCTTTTAGCAAGGACATTTACTGTCTGCTTTGGCTGTAGGATAACCTATTTTTAAAAAAGAAGATTCACAAAAGATGGATGAGAAACTTTCTCTTCTTCCTGGTCCAGGATTGTAGTTTAGACACCAATGACCAGTGGTTTTATCAGAAAGAGGCAACAAAGAGAAATAGGGCACCAAGCGACAATTATACCTGGAGAGCCAAAAGTAGCTGGTCAAACATGAAGGACAAAGAACCCAGTTAGTTCCCCCCCCCTTTAAAGCTACAGTAACATGAACGTAGCAAAATTATACAAAAACAATATCAAATTTTGGTAACAAGAATATTCTTCTGGCTATATTAAGCATGATCATCACATGTATCCAGTATGAGATGAAATAATGTGAATGACTTAATAGCTCTTGCTAAAATTTCATCTGCAAGCTTCAGTTTTAAAGTTCTAACGGCATTTATTTACCCATGTTTTCTTTCTTTAAAGTTGGGATAGCAGGAGAGGCAGAGTTTAGCAAGGTATGAAAAATGGTAACTTTTTCCTCATATCTACCTGCTTTATGTTTCATGGGAGTGGGGACGTATGCATAAGAAGCTATGAAAAGGTAATGATAAGGAAAATAGAAATAAGGAAACAAATATTCAGGTAAAGAAAAACCGTAGGATGGATTAAGGTTTGCTGGCATCAAATCTAATAGGAAATAAACGTTTCCCTTTTTAACTCTAAACAAAAGATTGGTAAGAAACTCTTCCTTTCTTTCACTAGCTTCTGACATGCATTAAATGTAGTCTGACAGTTAATTGTTATGTACATTTAACATGAAAAGTACTAGTAGCCCTCATTTTGCATCCATCTGCCGTTACAATGGTGATGAAAAAAAGCAACTTTACAACCAATTTTTCGCAGGTTTGTAAAGCAAAGGAAAGCTGAAGTAAGATAAGTGCACTTGTCGTTTCACTTAGTGTCCACTTTGCTTAATGAACAAATTGCCAGTCCTAATTTTGGTTGCTCAACGAGGACTACTTGTACTATTGTAGTAAACAATTATAGAATCTTAGTGATGTCGACAAGTTCAAAGAGTCATTGTTTAGATTTACTTTGTGGATATCCCACTTTTTTCTCTCAAGCGACTTGGGAAGAGGTCTCCCCTAATTTTACTCCCACAATAACAACCAACCCTGTGATAGAAATAGAACCTGGGGAGGGAGGCAAATCCTGCCATGATCGTGTCTTGGGAGTAAGATAACTGAAATGGACCAGCTTTTGGGTAACCACTCTCTTACTTGCAGGGCACAACAATAATTTACTCTGAGAAGCACAGGGAATGAATGAGTAAGCAATGGTGACGAGTTCAATATCCAATTGCAGCGGAGGGGCTTTTACATATTAAAATAGAAATAGATTTCAAAATAATATTAAGGTGGACTAGCACAAACATACCCCTTCTTCCCCAAATAAAATAGTGGAGGAAGACTTTCCTTTTGGAAAACTTGGAGAGAAGTTAGTGTTAGAAATGGAAGGCAGGTAAGAAAAGAGTCTAGGAGATGTTTTGCTCATGGAGATTAAAAAGCCTACAGCGGAGGCTAAAATATTCTGTCAGGAGAATGCAGGAGAGATTAGAAATATATACAATTTGGAAAACAGAAGGGGAAGGGAGGATACAAAACCTTTAAATATATTACATATATTCACTTATATGAAATAGTATGGGTTGTCCTGATTGAGCAGGACAAGAAGACCTCCTAGGCAGGGGAGGGGATTTTACCGGTTCTGTCCACTTCTGTAGAACCGGTTGCTCTGAAGAGCAGCAAACAGAGCGTACATAGAACCAGTTCTATGTTTGATGCTGTTTTGACCCACCTGCCCGCCTGGGCTCTTACCTGACCTTTATTTCCTGCTTTTTCAACTGCAGCTGCTTTGTGCAGAACAGCTGCGGTTGGAAAAGCGGGAAAAAAGTGCTCTTTCAACCGCTGTGCACCCACGCGCAGTGCTGCTCAGCTGTCCAGGCAGCTAGCTGACGACGATATACACATGCACGCGCAAAATGTAAAGCCTCAGAACCGGGAGTTACACCGGTCAGATCTGACCTCTGCCTCCAAGGTCCCTTCCAGCTTATTCTACTCTACTCTGATTGAGCAGTGGGTTGGACTAGAAGACCTCCAAAGTCCCTTCCAGCTCTATTCTGATTGATATTAAGGATGTGAATAAGATTCTAGAAGGCAATATGTTCAATATTAAGCAAAAATCAAGAACATGAGGGGCATAACCTCAAACTGACAGGAGGGATGCACAAAAGTAGTGCTAGAAAGTATTGACAGAAAGAGTAGTGGAAGCTTGGAACTAACGGTCAGTAAGTGACATGAAACAGCTTGGGATAAGCTCACATCTATCTCTGACAAACATTAATAAAAGAAACACTTGGGAAAGGTAATTGGTTAAAAATGCCAAAACCAGTCTGAACATTTGGCTCACTGTGATAAACCATCATAATGAAAAATAAAAGAAAGAGATCAATACTTAAAAAATAATAAATTAAAAAGAAAAAAAAACCCCTCAGGATTCTGTGCTTCTATGTAACTCTTAGAGTTGCTCACTTGATGTCTCCTCTAAGAAAATGGGTAGCAAAGTCTAACTAGTATTATACATTCTCAGACTAATCTTTGGTGATGTTGAAATAAGGAAACAAAACCAGTACAGCTAGGAACAAGTAAAGATTGCTTTGTTCATGAGATGGGTTGATATAAGGGCAATGTAAGGTGGTCAAGGAGGAAATGGAAGTTGTGGAGAAATGCAGGCTGGCAGGGCCTTTAAGTGACATGCTTAAAGGAGTTACGAGGATTCTAGCCAATGTGCTGATAGAATAGGTAAGCATTGATTGACTCAGTGACAGAAGCCTTGTGAGCTACATGACAGTGGACATTTTGTTCCCAAATCTCCCCTCACCTCTGCAGAATCCTTCAAACATTGCTCAGATCCAGAGGTATTGTTTTTTTGTCAATTCTAGGTTAAAAATAATATTTGGTCCTGGGCTGCCTGGATATAAAGCTGAGATTGCGGCTTGGCAGAAGCCCTCTGTGCTTCTAGAGGAGAGATTAAAATGAGCCAGAGCCTTGAAAAGTTGTCTGAACGATAATTTCTCACTCTGCAATTTGAGGAAGCAATTGGGTTGCATGTTGTTGTTGTTGTTGCAGAACAAATTGATAGCTTGGATTAATTTTCGGTTAATGTTTCCTAAGGGTTATCCAAGGGAACTGCAAGCCGAGGCCCCTCACTTTGACCTGGAAACAATCTCTTGCCACATTACTGTGCTCTCTGCTGTGCATGTGAATGCCGGTTCAGCATTTGTGGGGTTCAATCCTAGATTTATCAATATAAAATGCATGTATCTGTCTGAAGCTTCCATTGTTTGTGTGATAGTTGAGGCAGTTGTGATTTTTATGTCCTCATATGCCACAGGACTTGTATAGCACATCAGATCAGAAGGGAGAAGAGGGCATTATGTAGCTCTTACATAGCTGCCAGTGGGTAAGATGGGGAAGAGGCTGCTCTGGCCACCACCACCTCACTCTGCCAGCATCGGGTTCTGCAGGCCAGGCGGTCAAGGATACTGTTGGGATTTTATCCTCCCACCCCCATCACTGCCTCACTTAGTGTTACTGGTGCATTGCTCAGCTTCGTGCTTCGATGTGGCAGTGAGCAAGGAGAAGAAGCTTCGTTCTCTACCACCACACCACCTTGCTTCATCCTGCACCCCACACTGCCACGCTTAGTGGCTGCGGCACTGGTGCATCACTCAGCCTCCTGCTCTGTTGCAGCAGTGAGTAAGCTGGCGATCTTCATGGGTTGCTGGAGCTGCCACCACTGCATGAGGCCAGGCAATTGATGGCCTGGTTGTGGGACCCTCTGATAAGCTGGTGCCGGGTATGCATAGTAGCTTCTCACCCCTTGCCTCACTTCATCGTCCACCCCCCTCACCGCCTCGCTTAGTGGCCACAGCACCAAGTGCGTCACTTTGTCCTTTACCCCTCCCATGTCTCCTGCTCTATTGCAGCCATGAAAAAATAAGACCTCCCTGAAAATAAGCCCTAGTGCTTATTTTGGCAACCACAAAAATATAAGACTGGATCTTATTTTCGGGGAAACATGGGTAATATTCTGGAGAAGGATTTAGAAGAGTGAAAATCAACTTTCTTTCCTAGGTTTTGCTGGAAAAGGATTCTCAGTGGAGAACACAACCTGATTTATTAATTAGGGCT